TGCTGGCAGGAATCAGAGGCCACCTCTGGCTCTCTCCATGGCCATGGCCTTGGCTGTGCACAGCTATCAAAAGCAAAATGCAGGGCAAGTGTCCTCACTGCACGAGCCTGTGGAGAGTCAAAGCTTGGCTGCACTCTTGGTTACTTGCAGCATTCTACCTGCATTATTGTAAGATTTAATTGCAGTTAAAGTTGTGCTTCCATCTTCACCTGTCTCTCTCCTGGCAGAGAATCCAGGAAATGAGCCCACGCTGCCTGTGCAAGCATGGCCATGATGACTGCGTTTTGTGGCTTTCTCTGTACTGGTAAATGAAGTGTGACCAGACTGACCCTGACAACAAAGATGGGTGTCAGGGAACAGAGCAAGTCCTGACATTGACCTCTCCTCTGACACCATGCTGCTCTTCTGCCAGCAACCCTACCCGTGGCAGCTCCTAGCTGGGAAGCCTTGGCCCAAGATGCTCTAACAGATTAATGATGAGCCTGGGAATAGCCTTTGTTTTTGATGAATTCAGTTTTGGTAATGCGTCCTGGGTCTTGGAGGATGGTGAGACAACCTGGAGCAGAGACAGAGGGGATGCAGCACGTGGAGATTGCAGGTTGTTATAAGATGGAGGCAATCCATATGCTCAAGGCATGTGGGAACTCGCCAGATAGTAAATCAGTGCTCTGAAATGCCTGACCTTACACTGCAGCACCTCCCTGCTCCCTCACCAGAGGCTCTCCATCTCTATAAAAAACAGCCACTGCATTGGTACAACTCTCCGGATTTTCTCATGTTTCCTGTTGGATTTTCAGAGTCCAAACGCAAGTCAAGGTCCCCAGCACGTTCAGTGAATGTTCATTAATCTTTCCTGGCTCAGGCACCCAGCGAGCTCAGTAACACTCGAGTCCAGAAGAGTTCCAGGCTGTCAGAGGGATGGGCTATTGCAGGCCATACTGAGAGCCTGTCCCAGGCCTGCTGCAGATGGATTCAAACAAATCACCTTTCTGCAGGGTGGATATACAGGTGTATCCAAGGGCTCCAGAGCTGGTTAATTATTTCCAGCATGGAGCAGGCTGATATATCCCCCTGTCAGCAGCATCTACAGACGCCCTGCGGCTCTGGGTGGAAGATGGGAGTTGCAGGGATGGAATCTCATGGAATTTGTGTCCCCACTGTTCTCCTCCTGCTCAGAGGATGCTGCCATCACAGCTTGCTTTCTCTCTTGCCCCCCCATGAACTGGCTCCAGGGAGAGGCATGGAAACTGGGACAGCTGACAGCGCAGGAATGGGAACAACCAATGGCATGGGAAGGAAAAGCCCAAGCCCCTCTGGCTGGAGCAACCCCCTCCCATAGCTCGGGGAACAAACGCACCAGTGAGCACAGAAACCTCCAGGAAATAACAGCATTAAGGAAAGCCCATGTATTTAGCATTAGGTCTTTGCCACTGAGAAACACAAGACCAGGCTTTTGCGTCTGCCCTAATTTAGCTCTTTCCCTCTGGAAAGGACTATTTGGGAAATGCTTTGTGCTCATGTCCCTGGCATTAATCAGCCCCTGTCAGCCGCCAGCTCCGTGGATCCCCCTGCACTCGCAGGTGCACTGCTCTAGCCCACCCTCCCACGTGGCAGGTACCCAGCGGCTCCAGCCTTTCACCACAGATATCCAAAGGGCTCAAAAGTGCTTGAAGATTTTTCTTTTAATTAGAGGAGCTCTGGAGACATGCTATATTCATATGTATTTCCTGCTATTTTTTAATTTATTGCTACATCAGCTATTAAAAAAAAAAAAAAAAGGCAAAAAGAAGAAAGGAAGGGAGCTGCCACAAGCTGAGCGCCTTTTGGGATGACTCATTGCAGCACTGAAATGGCTGCTGGCTTCAGACTCACCCTGCCTCTGCGATTTGCTTCCAGACTGCAGAAGAGACCACAGCAAGAGGTTTTGCCCCTTGTGCCTGCGTGGAGGATTTGCCATGTGGTTATCGACATAATCCACCCTGGCCTTCGGCAGGCGGAGACTTGCCTTCCTCTAGAGAGGAAGATGGGGGGAGACATGAAAGGAAGAGATGGCGAGGCATTTCCAGCTGACCTGATTTTCTGCATGTTCCCATCTCCACATCACTGCTGGTTAGCTCAGGAATGGCAGTGGGGGCACAGGGCTGGCTCGTGCCGTGGGGAGCTGCACTTTACCCGGGCCATTGCAAACAACTGTGCCAAGGAACAGCCCTTACACCTCAATTCACTGCAAAACAGCCTCAAAGTGGGAGTCTCCCTTTCCTGCCACAGCTTGCCAGTGTCAGTGTGAAGGCAGACCAGCAGGCTCTGGACAGCTCGTGGCAGAGTCAGGCCTTTTGCCTCTGAACTTGTGCAGAAAATTCACCTCAGGTGCCATTGATGCAGCAGCCAAGTCCTCTCTGAAGGATGCTGTGATGCCATCACAAACCTGCACGGGGCCTCTGCAGCCTGGGAAGTGAACTTCCCTTCTCTGCAGTTGTTTCCAGCCAGAGCCTTGAGCTGCAGCAGGAGACATGGAGGTATCTCCTCTCCGTGTCTCTCCAGCTCCTTCCCAGGGTAATTCCTCCAGTCTGGGAGCAATAAGGACAGAGCCCTGTCAACTCCTTTTCCACTCAGGATTCAGCTCCTCCACATGGCCCAGGGACACTCAGCAAATCTCCTTGTACTGGGAGAGCTGATTTTGGGAGGGTCAGGGCTGAGGTCTACTGTGTAGTAGAGCATAAACAGGGCTCTGGTGCAGACACCAAGTGCCAGATGGAGTGGGCGCCCTTGCAGCGCCAGGCACAGCTCCTTCCCTGAAAAATGGCTGGATGAGAACTATTTTCAGAAGGGAAAAGAAAATTCACCCTGATCACCATATGTCAGTGACAGGCAGAGAAAACCCCACGTGGGAGCCAGCCCTCCTCCTACCCTGTGGGCTGCGCCCTGCTGGGGCTCAGCACCCACCATCAGCCAGGCTCGCAGCTGCCTGGAGCAGACAAAGATGGGCATGTTTATCTTGCAGCTTCCAGGGATGCTCAGCCATCTCTAATTGCCATAAAAATAAATGCTTTTTGCTTCATATCACAGAACAGAGGAATTTCCCTCTGCTTTTTGTTTTCTTTTTTCTTTTTTTCCTATTTTCTGAGGCCTCCCTCAAAGTCATCCCTTCCCCCTCCCTCCGCTGCCTCCTTGCCATGTAAACAAGCACAGGCACACACAGTCTGACACATCACACACATGGAGGCACGCTGATGGCCCTGCAGCGGCCAGCTCTGCCTGGCACAGGGACAGGACTGGCAGCACACGCGGGAGGCGGGCGTGCGGGCAGGGGGAAGGATGCTCGCCACCAAAAAGAGCTCTCAGTCCGCCTCGTGCAAGCCTGGAGAAGGCTGAGAGCCCTCAGGCTCCAGCCCCTCGGACTATAATCAGCAACCCGATGGAAGGGATGCAGAGGGTGCTGCGAAGTCTCGCCCCGTGCGAGCCGCCTGTCTGACACAGCTGCTCTGTGCTGCTGCCGGAGCAGTGAGCCATCGCTGCGGGGACATGCAGCCCCGGCTGTCACCCCGGGAAGGTCCCTTTCCCATCCTGTCCTTGCCATCCCTGTGCTGCAGCAGCTGACTTCCAGGGCAGTTGGTGCGCTTGCAGAGCTCCCCGGGCTGTCCGGGGATGGCCCCGGGCGGCGGCGGCAGCTCGCTGAGCTGAACCCGGCGTGTGCCGCGCCCGGGGCTCGCTGCCTTCCCCCAGCTCCCAGTGAGCCTGGGAAGAGACACCGAGGAGCTCAGCAAGCCAGGGGAGCGCTTCCCCGCGGGGCTGCCCCGGTGCCCCGCACACTCCCCGTTCCAAGGAGCAAGACGGAGATGGATCGCACGGAGGGCGACTGCGAGGGCAGGGGCGCATCGTGGGCACCGCCGCCCGGGCCCGGCTCGGCCTGAACGCGCTCGGCACGGGACCGCCCGGCACTCCCGGCTCCGGGGGCTCGGCCCCGAGGGCAGCGCTTGCCACCCGGGCAGCTTCGCACAGACCCGGGGTAACCCAGGGCCGGGTGAGACGGGCACCCCCAGCGCGGCTGCCACAGCCATCCCGGGAGCTCTCCCGCCTTCCAAGGGACTTCCAGCAGGTAAGACTTCAGGAAAGCCACGGGTTCCCTCGCCTGGTCCAGATTCCCGGCTCGGCTCCGCCGTGGTGGTGCCTTGGCAGGGGACACCGCCAGCCTCGCACGGAGCTGTGCCGACTTCTCAGCCGGTTTCGCCAAAATCAGCTCGCTGGTCTCGTCCGGTGGGTTCTCCCCGGGCATCCTTAGCCCTGTCCCCTGTACAGAGCTTGGGAGGGGCCGCTGGGAGGCAGAGGCAGCCACGAACCGGGCACCGGCGGTGTGGAAGCGGGGACTGCAAACCGGGAATAGGGAACCGGGCTCTCCCCGGCTGTTTCCGCGCCGCGGCGCCGGCGGGCGGGCGGAGGGCGGCACCGGGAGAGGCGGCGGGCGGGACCCCGGCCCCGCGGAGCTGCCGCCGGTGCCGGTGCCGGCCCCGCAGGGCTCGCGGCTCCGCGCCGGGCGCGCTCCTGCGGCGGGGGCGGCGCCGAGGCAGGTGAGCGGCGGCGCGGGGCCGGGCTCCGCCGGCGGGGTGCTGCGGGCACCGGCAGCGCGGGCACCGCGGCACCGGCACCCGGGGCGGGCGGGGACGAGGGCAGCAGCATCCCGGGGCGCACCAGGGAACGGCATCCCGGGGCGGGGTGGGGACCCGCGGCATCGGCATCCCGGGGAGCTGCAGGCACCGACATCCCGGGGACCCGCGGCACTGGCATCCCGGGGCGCGGCGAGGACCTTAAGATCGGTAACACAGGGACCGGGGCACCTGAAACCCGCGTACCCGGGGTACCAGAACCCCTGGGCATTGCAGGGGTCAGCACCCTGGGGTGCGTCGGAGACCCGGGGCATCGGCATGCCGGGGTGAGAGGGCAACCGGAGCAGCGGCATGCAGGGATGAGCGGGGAAGCGAGGCACCGACATCCCGGGGTAAGCGGGGAGCCGCCGTGCCAGCATCCACACCCCGGGATGCTGCTGCGTGCCGGGTCGCAGGGACGTTCCTCCCCGTCCCTCTGCGGGCGGGTGTAGGGGAGTCCCTCGCCCCGGAGCCTGCCTTCCCCGGGGGCTGCATTCTCCCTCCCCGGGGAACGGAGCACGGAGGTCCCTCTGGAGAGCTGTGCACGCTCAGCGTGAGAGCTGGGAGTGGAGGCTGGCACAGCGCTGGGCTGTTGGCAAGCACCCTCTCCTGCACCCGAGGCGAACGGGGAGTCCCCCCGTCATCTCCATCTCCAGCCCTGAGCATTTGGTGGCCTCTCAGCAGCTTGTGCTCTGCCTGCAGGGAGCAGCCAGTAGTGGGAATCCCCCTTCCATTCTCCCCACTGCCTGCCTGGCAAACCCCTACACCGCCCAAGGCGGTCCTGAGCATCTTCAAGCCGATGAGAACGAAGACGCTCAGCAGTGGGGATGGGGCTCTGCAGGGGCAGTTTTGGATGACCAGACAGCAGATGTCCCCCCGTCCTGTCCCAGCATATGGGGACACCCTGCAGGAGCTGGGAGGCCACCCAGCCCCACTGGCCCCCTCAGGTACTCAGCAAGGGACTCCCAGTCCTATCCCAGTCCCATGGATATCTTGCACAGGATCTCCTCAGTGGTTTGCAGCCACCACCCCTGCACGCCTGGGACATGCACAGTCACAAGCCCCGGGTGACAGGGCATTTAGGGTAGGCTACAGGCAAAGGATAAGAGGTTCCTCCTCCTCTACGCATTTCTAATGGCTCCTTTGAGACAAGCCACACAACTCCCTGCTGGGAAGCCTCGCTGAGCTGTAAGTACAGGGTTTTTTATTTGGACTGTTAATCTAAATCCATTGTACCTGGTTGGAAAAGACCCTGCGTGCAATGCTCCCTGCACTTGCTGCATCCTCACTTGAATGTCTATTAGCACCTTCCTTACCATTCCCTTGAGTTCCCTCTGCCAGGTAGAATAAATATACATAACTTCCATTTGAAAGCCTTTGAGAAAAAAAAATATGTTGTCAAGGGAAACTCTTCTACCATTTCTTATAGACATGCTTGATCTGTTTTATATTTTATTCTTACTGTCACAAATGCATATACCAGGGATTTTTTCCTCCACAAGATAGATATTAATTTGAACGCCCAACACCCAGCTCACACTGGGCTTGTGTAATTCTGACGGTTGTCTCAAAATAGCTTACAATATATTTCAACATCTATCAGAAAGAGACTGGCTTGCTCTGTTCCTTTTTTCCAATCATTCATGGAAATTTTGGGTCAACTAAAGGAAGATTTTGCAAATTCACTTTATCCCAGACAGACATATTTGTATTCTCTGTCCGTCAGGCTTTTAAATAAAAACTACCCAAGCTTCCCAAAGTAAGCTTCTGTTTCCCAGCTGATACCCCTGCAAATGTGAATGGGGTGCACATGTGCTTTGATAGTCCAGCAGGGGAGATCGCACTGAGTCCCAGTTCAAAGCCCAGTTTTGTTCTAAAGCTAAGCTTAGCTGTTCGTGAAACAAATAGGCAAGAGAGTTATAAAACTATTAATTGCTGCTTTAGATTCCTAGATGAAAGCTGTATGTGGGCAGAAATAATTTGGTCTATTCATAAGCAAACATCATAAAGGAACATCTCTGGCAGTTCAGTACCCTTCTCCTCGCTCTGCTTCCAGTGCAGGAGGGATGGAGGGATTTCCCATGGCTACAAACTTGCAGGGTCCTGACACCCACCTTTTAATTTTGAGTGGGGAGAGAGGTAGGAGCCATCCCCTTCTGGCTCTGTCTCACCCAGAGGCACAGCTGTGCGCTGGGGATGGTCCAGCTGAACTGGAGTAATGCTTCAGGCTTGTCCTGCCATCCTGGGCCATCCTGTGCCCCAGCCCAGCCCCTAAACCACCTTGCCTTTGATTTTGGTGGCCTGAATTGTCAGAGAGGCTGCTCTATAGGGAGGATGCAGAGAGAGTCTGAGGCTGGTTTTGGGATAAGCCGGATCCACAGATGCACCTCCAGGGCCCCCCATCTGTGTGTGTGTGCTTATAGCCTGAATGCATGAGCATCCTTCTGGAAGGAACCTGGATTAGTCATCCCTACCCCACAGATGGGCTGTGTGATGTCTTCTCTGGAAAAGCTAATCTGACACTGAAATTCCAATTTATCTCTGAAAGAAGGGTTTACACCCCTTCCTCTCCCTTGCTTTTGGCATAAGCTTTAAAAATGTATCCTTCTCTTTCTTCCCTCCCGTTTGAGAGGCAAGACATTGAGTCCATTAAGCTCTGAGGTTTATCACCAGCTGGTTTCCTCCTCCAGACGTGGTGAAATGGAAGTGCTGGTTGGGGTGCAAGCTGTGTCTTTAAGGAGCCCTGGCCGGGAGATGCAGTGGAGTTCGCAGATGCCTTTGCCAGGCTGTTTCACACAAATCTGGCATTTCCTGCACCCACAGCCCAGCTCAGCTTGAAAACACCTCCGGGGCTTAACCATGGCACCATTACCTGTTCCTCTGCAGCTCTGCTCTGCCCTACAGATTAGATGTGACCCCCAGGTCCCTCCCAGTCTGACAAAGCTTTTACACCGAGGTTCTCAGACTGGAAAGCAGGTAGAGCCCTGGTGTTTGCCCCATAAATCCTGGGAGATGGCTGATGAGGAAGAACTCATGGGAATCCCTTGTGTGGTGTGACCCACTTCGTGTCACTGAGCTGGCCTTGGCCCTCGGTGGCTGCTGTGTGACCAGGCTGTTCTCTGTGGGGTCTGCTGGCACCTCAGCATCACTGCAGGGGCTGCAGCCTTTTTACCCTCAGCTCCTGCTGCCTGCTTGTGCCCTGTGTCCCTGCAGTCCCTAAAACCTTGGCAAATTCTGTGGATGACATAAGACACCCACAGAAAATGGAAAAAAATGTAATTCCTCCACCAAGAGAGCAAAGCAGTGTCCCTCAACCCCCACCACTCTGTGCCAGGAGCAGGGAGATCCTGTGAGTACAGGGCTGCTCCAGGTGTCCCCTGGTTGTTTTGATGAAAAAGGTGGGTGGAAAAATCTGATTTCAAGGTGGTGCATAAAGATCACAATGCTTTTTATTTGCCTTTTTGCTCTAAATTTCTGGTCAAGGCAGGTTAATGCCTCTGCATCTGGGAATGCTTCTCCTTCTTCCATGCTTTAACTGTTTCTCATTAGAAAATAGAATTTCTGCTGCACAAAAAAAGCCCAGCTCCCTGAAACTTATAAATCCCTAAAATGCAATAGAAATCAACACTCTGGGTTTTTATTTCCCAATCAATATACAGATTTTATTCAGTCATCAATGATTCTGAATCATGTTTTCGTTATGTTTCAACATAATCAAAATAATCTTAATATTTTACATGGCAGAACACACAAGAGGAAACAAAACAGGCAGATGAATTGTTTTGACATTTCTTCCTCTCAAATTCTCCCTAAAATCGACACCTTCTGTGACAATACTTTGATTTTGGCAAAACTGCCTGTGCTGCTGGAAAGATTGCACCATCTAAGGGCTTTCTGACCAGGTCTAATTAGTAGCGTAGGTAGTGGGGCTACAAAGCACTTTGGCAGAATCACAGCAGTGGTGATTTGACAAGATCTAAATTTTCCTCCGGGAGACTCTTTGGGGAATAAATCTTCTCTTCAGTGACTAATTACCTGTTTGAAGAAGAAGAGCCCCATGGGTGCCGTGCTGGAGGTGAATTAAACTGCCTTCCTTAGGCCATTAACAACCTGCAAAGGGAGAAAATTTAGGAGGGAAAAAAGCAAGGAAAAGTTTCATATGGAAGAATCATTGGCTTTTCTTTTTTTAGCTTTCATACCACGGGAGAACAACAGTCTAAAGCTGTTTTTCTCCCCTTCTTTCTCCTTGGTTCTCACTTTTCAAAATGCAAACATCCCTCCTCACTCCCCAGGGTGCTCCTCACCCCCCAAACCCAGGAGCACCCAGATCTGGGGGAGCCCTGTGTCCCCTCCAGCCCCGCTGTCTCATCCACAGGTGGAACCCACTCCTGCTCTGCTGATCATGGTCAACAAGACCTTAAACTACTGGGGTCCCAGTTTTGAGGAGGACGTTATCAACATCAACGTGGGGGGCCTGCGGAGGCGGCTCAGCTCCAGCGCCCTCTCCAAGTTCCCCGACACCCGCCTGGGCCGGCTGCTCTCCTGCGACTCGGAGGAGTCCATCCTGCAGCTCTGCGATGACTACGACGTGAGCGCCAGGGAGTTCTACTTCGACCGAAACCCCGGATTCTTCCTCTACGTCCTCCACTTCTACCAGACGGGGAAGCTGCACGTCATGGAGGAGCTGTGCGTCTTCTCCTTCTGCCAGGAGATCGAGTACTGGGGCATCAATGAATTCTTCCTGGACTCCTGCTGCAGCTACCGCTACCACGAGCGCAAGCTGGAGAGCCGGCACCACAACTGGGATGAGGAGAGCGAGGTGAGCAGCGTGGACACGTCCCCTGATGAGATCTCGGACATCAACCACGACCTGCTGCGCTACAGCACCCTGCGCTGCGGCAACCTGCGCAAGCGCCTCTGGCTCACCATGGAGAACCCCGGCTACTCCATCCCCAGCAAACTCTTCAGCTTCGTGTCCATCAGCGTGGTGCTGGTGTCCATAGCCACCATGTGCATCCACAGCATGCCTGAGTACCAGGAGGTGGATGAGAATGGCAACGTGCTCGATGAACCCATCTTGCACAAGCTGGAGTATTTCTGCATCTCCTGGTTCACCTTCGAAGTATCCTCCCGCCTCCTGCTCTCGCCCAACCCCAGGAAGTTCTTCAAGCACCCGCTGAACCTGATTGACATTGTCTCAGTGTTGCCCTTCTACTTCACCCTCCTGGTGGATGTGACCATGGGCAGTGACTCGGAGTTGGGCAACCTGGGCAAGGTGGTGCAGGTGTTTCGGCTGATGAGGATATTCCGGGTGCTGAAGCTGGCTCGGCACTCCACTGGACTGAGGTCACTGGGGGCCACCTTGAAGGTAAACTGGCTCTCTATCTCCTTATCTACTCCTTTAGTCTAGTGCCCAGCAGGGCTGAGAGTGACCTGCTGAGCAGGTAGCAGGCCAGCCAGCAGCTGCTGGGTCTGCCAGCACCAGTGTGTATGGCTCAGGGCTGCTCCTGTCCCCATTCTGGGAAAAGGGGAACCCTCCTAAGGGCATGCTGCCAGCTGACCAAAGGCCAGTGTCCAACCCCTGATGTCTGCCCATTTAGGGAAACAGAAATCCTGGTCCAGCTGAGTTGATACTTGAATGCTTCAGGATACAGTGAGGTTGGGACTGGCACAAAGCAGCAATAGAAAAGCAACGGGTGAGTTGCATGGCCTGGGACAACCAGCCCCAGGCAGGGTCTGTGCCCTCAGCAGAGCCTGGGTTTGCAGCAGCTGCCCCTCAGTGTGAGGGAAAACTTGGCATGCAGAACTGGGGGAAGCTGGTCCCAGGACCATGCAGTCCTCAGGAGGAAGGTCTGGAGGAAATGCTGGCCAAGTGGAGGACCAGGATTCAGGTACACCTACAAGTGGCATCCCTGCAGGTCTGGTGAGAGGGTCCACATCCCCCATAACATGCCCCAAGGCTGTGTTTCTCCAGACTCCCACCCACAGTGCCTCTGGCCTCTTCAGACAGACCAAGGGCAACTTGAAATCTGTAATGCAATCATCACTATCCTGCTGCTGAAGCCAGACCTCCATCACTGCAGCTCAGTGGTGAAGCAGGACCATCTTCCACACCCAGTGTGGTTCTGCTCACCCCCACCATCTCTCCCCTCCATCCCCCTTCTGCTGAGGGCCATGTTCCTGAATCTGGGGAGAAGGAAACTCACCTCCTGTGCTTATACAGAAAATCCAGTCTGCTGCAGAGGCCAATTAAACTCAGCCTTTAATTGTTCCTGGTTCTTGGTGATTGCATCAATAGGAATCCTAAAGTTCAGAGTGACACATGCTCCCAATGCCCCACCACACATGGGACTCATGCTGGGCACGGGGGGATGATCACCAGGGCAACCATTGCCTCTTCTCGGGGCAATTGCACAAATATCCCTGTGCTTTACCCCCTTCAAACTACCAGTGTACTACACAAATGGCCAAGGAAGCAATCTTTGTAACCTGAAATTCAACCAATGGGCCACTCTCCTCCCACTCAGTGCCCGGCATGGGAGGGAGCTGCAGCTGCAGGTGCTGCTCCCTCTGAAGGGCCATGTCTGGGATGAGGAGCTGGGGACACCCTGTTTTCACTGCTGCAGCAGTGACACGGCTGGCATGGGGTGTTCTGGCCTCGGCAGGTCTCGGCTGCTGGGGTTGGACCCATTCCCGTGGCTGAGTCATGGAGGAAAGCAACCACTGAGTGGGAATGGGGGTGAGGATGGGCGGCAGGGAAGGTCTTCTGCCAGCTTCTGCTGTGACGCAGGATAGCTCTGCCCAGACTCATCTTGCAGAGCCCACAGAGCATCAAAATATTCCTGGCATCCTCAAAACCTGCTGCAAACAGAGTCCAGGATGGGTTACTTGAAATGAAGATGCCTGAAGTCCTTGCATCATGCTTGCTTCTGAACACTCACCTTGAAAGGGCACTGACAAGTGACAGACCCAGGTAAAACTGCTGGTGAAATTTAAGTAAACTTGCACACGTAGAAAGGGCTCCCTAAGTCCTGCTGGTGCTCCATCCAAGCATGAACAACATCTTTCAGCAGAGCAGGCACTGATGGACTCATGTGCATATTACTAAGCAGCAAACAAGATCTGGGGAGCCGACAGCATCCCAGCCCCGGCTGCTGACGAGCAGCTGATTCACCAGTGACGTGCTGGAAAGTGCCCCTTCCTGGGGACTCCGTCGCCAGCTCTACGTGGGGATGAGCAAAGACACAAATCTGATGCAGCAGCTTGGCATTGTGATTTAGTGGGCACATAAATTACAACGTCTCGTTAATAATAATTTACTTCCTATTGCGAGAGCAGAAAGCAGGAGCAGAGCAGTGAAGGCTATTAACAGCCAGGAGGTGGGAGCGATGGCTCTGGCAAGCTGAGTGATTGTTCCCTTGCCATGAAAGTGCTAGCAGAGGGAATTCTGCCATTTGTGCATTGTAAACCCTGAACACTCCTCAGATTGCTTGGGGCCTGATCCACAGCATGTTTAATTTGAGGAGAGGCTTCCTACACGTCTCTGCTCTTCCTCCCCGCCGCGCCTGACATCCATTACTGCTATTGCAGCTCCACGGGTGCGGGTTTGGATCCCCTCTCCACTGGCTGTGGGGAGATGTTGGGCCCTGGGTAATTACAGCACATACAGAGATCTTCAGGAGTTGCTGTCTGTCCCCTCAGGGGCCTAAATATGTAAAGAGGCTGGAGCTGCACAACCCGATCACCCTGCTGTCACTGCCATGGGCTGTCTTTGCTCGGGCTCCACACTGCTATTTCTGCCAACACTCAAAGTGGGCTCTTCCATTCCCATTGTCTTCTGCTGTACTGGAGGGAAGATGTGCAGGAACCTGGAGACTCTGCTGCTTGGAGGGCTTTTTGCTGGAGTCTTTTATTACCTAGCACTGCCTGCCCCAAGGCTGGCTACTTGTTAAGCCTGCAACCCACCCAAACCCTGGTGAAAACTGCATCCCACCCAAACCCTATCCAAGCCTGCATCCCACCCGATCCTTGGCTAAACCTGCATTCCATCTGAACCCTGGCTAAGCCTGCATCCCACTCAAACCATGGCTAAAACTTCATCCCAGCCAAACCCCAGCTGCAGCTGCCTTCCCCCCTCAATCAATGAGCAAACCAGAAGCTTTGCAGATAAAGGGCTGCAAATAGGTGGCAGCCAGTGCCTGAGGATCAGCTGGGAGGTTTCTGGAGCCTTCCCTGGGCTGCAAACCCTGACCCTGTGTGTAAATTGAAGCAGCAGGAGCTATGGAGCTGCTTGACTTCCCCTTTGCCTTCCCCCTCCAACACATCCCAGGGCCAGAACTGATACTCTTAAAAAATGTGTGAGGCTGTTTGGTGCTGTTGATGCCCAGCTGGGATGTACAGACCTGCTGCTAACTTCCAGCCAGGAGCAGGTCTTTCTTGGCCAAGTGATACACCCTTGGCTCTGAGCTGTTTGTCCTCCTTGAGGAGCTCCCTTGGCACTGCTATAGGGCATTTGCAGCCACAGGTGAGGGAGGAGACAGGCAGGAGGAGGAGGAGGAAGGGGAGGAAGAGGACGCTATTTGGTGTTACTGGAATTATCTGAGCAGCTTTTGCCAGCGGTCTAAGCAAAGTCTCCTCATTCCCTGCCATGGATCCACCTCCTTTTAAGTCTCATCCTGACCACAGAAGCCTTTTCCCACATCTGCTGCTGTTTGCTTTGCTCAAATGTTGTTTCCTTTAGCCATTATGTGGTCTCCAATAAAGCATTCTCTGCTTGTTAGGAGACTGGGAAAAAATCCCAACAGTCAAAGCTCTGCTCTCCTTTCCCCAAAAGATGAAGAGCAAGCTGGCAGGTCAGTGGGCAGAAACATCCAAGAAATTCACTTATGGCATCAGAAAGTGATTGGACAAGGCATGCTGGGATGGTAGTGGCAGTCTGTCCCCTGGCTGTCCCTTCCTGGCATGACTTGCTGCCTGGTCTTCCAGCTGCCCACTGCCTTTTCCCCCTGGGCTTCTGGCACAGGTTTATACTTTGTTCAAATATTAGGAATATAAAAAGAAAGATCACAGCACAAAAGTTTAGGTTGAAACCAGAGAAATTATGTCTTCTTCAAGGAGCATTGCCTGCCACTGCCATCAGAGTTGGGTGTCCCATGGCTCTATTCCCATCACAGCTTCCAGATCCCTTGGGCTGTACCTTATCAAGCTGGGGCTTGTGGCACCCTGTAGGATGGGTGCTAAGACCAGCCCATGCTGACAATGGGTGGGTCCCTGGTCTGCCCTGATGAGCAGGGATATTTGGTTCCATGGCAAATATCTGATATGGTGTTTCTACATGTCTGTAACAAAGAGTTTCATGAATGCTGAGGCTCAGTGGTGTTGGGGTACAGGAGGGACCCTGGCGCTCAGGGGTCCCCAGGGAACCTGGGCTGAGACCTGGGTAAGAGCTGAGCTGAGCCTGCAGCAGAGACCACGTCCTCCCTGCGAGCAGTGCCAGCGGCTCAGGAAGGTACAAATTGCTCCTTTCAGTGGCTGCCTATTAGGTGGTTTCTGGGGACCTGCCAAGATAAAAGGAAAATGTGCTAAATATTTTTAGCCGAGATCAGGCCAGAGTGAGTGCTGGAGGCAGGGGAGCAGCCTCTGCCGGGCACCCCTGGCTGGGGAACACAGATCTGTCTTCCCTCCCAGCACTTGCAGCCTGGTGGAGTGCAGAGAGGCAGCTGTGGGTGCCAGGAATGATTCCTGGCTGCACCACTTGCTCCAGATGTGAGTCACTCCTGCCCCATTCCAGCCCACCCGTGGAGCAGGACATCCCACAGCAGAGGTGGATAGAGGATCCCTGGTGGAGGTGTGCAGGGAGTCTGTGCAGGTCTGTGTTTGCACTGTGGGGTCTCTGTGTCCTGCTCAGCGGCCCCCACTGACCAAGGCTCTGCTTTGCCTTCCAGCACAGCTACAGGGAGGTGGGGATCCTGCTGCTCTACCTGGCCGTGGGGGTCTCTGTGTTCTCTGGAGTGGCCTACACTGCTGAGAAGGAGGAAGACGTGGGCTTCGACACCATCCCGGCGTGCTGGTGGTGGGGCACGGTCAGCATGACCACCGTGGGCTACGGCGACGTGGTGCCCGTCACCGTGGCAGGGAAGCTGGCGGCCTCGGGCTGCATCCTGGGGGGCATCCTGGTCGTGGCACTGCCCATCACCATCATCTTCAACAAGTTCTCCCACTTCTACCGCAAGCAGAAGGCGCTGGAGGCGGCCGTGAGGAACAGCGGCAAGAAGGACCCTGAGGAGGTGGGGAGCGTCTCCAGCCATGACCGAGACTCGGAGGCTCTGAGCGAGACCTCCCTGGGCAGGGACAGCCCCGAGCGCCGTGGTCTGACCCCCGGTGCCCAGCCCAGCCCCTGAGCAGCCCTGGGGCACCTGGGACCTGCCTGCCCACGGTGAGCACGGCACCGGGACACGCCGGAGGAGCCGCGGCTGGCATCGCCCTGCCCTGGAAAGGACAGGAGGGGTTGGAGGAGATGCCCAGTGGGTGCTGGATGCCTCCAACTCCTGTGCCTGCCTGGATGTGTTTCAGCCTTCAGCTTGCTCACCCGTGGCTGCAAAGGGAGGTTGTGGTGCTGGATATACCCCAGCCAAAAAGGGAGGCAGAAAATAAGAAATACAAGTGATCCCTGATCAGGCACTGCCCCTGGGTATGGAGAGGGATTTTCCTCTGCCCTAACGTTTTATGTTGTCCAGGGTGAGGTTAAATAGCTCACGGATGAGGCAGCCCTCAACCAGGCTGGCAGCCCTTACAGATCCTGTGCAATGTCGACAACTCCAGCCCCAGCCTTGTCCTACCCCCAGCAGGAAACAGGCTCAAAAGGCTCAACTGCCCCTCCAGCCATAAAGGAAAGGGGCCTAGGAATGAGTCTGTATGGGAGGAGAGGTAGAGGGTGAGCCCCATGCTCCCCAGGCCCCGCAGTGGGATCGACTGAACCTCACCTTCTTTCCATTGCTAGGATTTATCTGCTGTCCTGCACTGCCACTGCCGGGACCCCCAGGGATCTGGGGCTGTGCTGGGAGTGTGGCACAGCTGGGAGCACTGCCCACACGTGGGGGAGGGACACTGCCCACACACCCAGGGGTGACCAGGATGGCAGAAGCAACACTGTCCTCTGAGGCAGCAGCAGTCAGAGGGGTCAAGCTGGGGGAACTGAGGAGCCAACCTCAGTGGGGCGTCCCCCAAGCCCCCTGGTCTCCCTTGCCTCAGCCCCTAGCCTGGCTTTATCCTGCCTCTTCCCTCCCTGTCTCAGGGCCAGGAGGGCCGTAAGGAGGGGGTCACACTGCCCCAGGTGTCCTCACAGGCAGCTGAGCTCCCCAGGTGCCGCTGCACTCACTTTCCCTCACTTGTTCCTGCAGGGAGAGAGGTGGGGCAGAGGGGACCTTGCACTGCTTTTGTCACTGCAGCCTCTGAGCACCTCACAGCCAGGCAGGGAGGTTGGCCTGGAACACCAAACCCCTTCCTGCCCAGACCCCCAGCCCACCTGAGCACTTTTGGGGCTGCTCCCAGCACAGCATTAATTCCCTACAGAGCTCTTCCCTGCCCTCCCACCCCTGTTCTCTGTTTGGAAATTGTGCAGCTCTGTGGCACACAGAGCAGTGCACCCAGCAATGCGTGTTTCCAGCAGGAGAAACGTGCATCCCACAATCCCAAACCACCTCAAACACACGCTAAAGGCTGCAGGATGACCCCAGGATTGTGGCTTTGCTGCTGGTTGTCCTGGCTGGGTTTCAGCCCAGCTGCAGCTGCTGGTGCTGGCTCTGCCTGGAGCAATCTGCTGGAAAGCCAAACCAACACTGGGGCAGGTCCAGCCTTTCCAAGCCCAGTGGGACTCAGGGAGGGTCCCCAAGGAATGGTGGTGTGGGATGGGAGGGTGCTCATGCTTCTGGCATCATCAAGTCTTCCAGTACCAACTCCATGGTCTGCTCCATGCTTATTCCTGCTGGGAGCTGGGACTGGGGAGCAGCACCCTCTGCTCCAACCAGCTCCTGCTGCACTGTTACTTGAATACAGGAAGGAGTTTCCCCTCCTCAACATAAATATTCCAGTAGCAAAATGTATTCAAATGTGAAGAGTAAATTATATCTATTAATGAAAAAGCATTATGCAAATAATTAGGAGCATGTAAATTAATTTTCTATCTATGCATGGGATGCATACTGTATATTTTATTAAAGACCTCAATGACCCGCTGTGGATGCTGGTTTCTGTTTTGTGGCAGCTGTATGAGCTCATGCAGCCCACGGGCTGAGCCAGGGCTGGGTCAAGGTGAGCAGGAGCAGGGCACAACTTAACCACTGCTCTCCCTGTGTCAGGTGCATTACCCTGCTGGGTGTGACAGGGGTGAAAACAGAGTTTAATCTTTAGTCCTTGGAGAGCTTTCCCATTAAAAAAAATTAAAATCCGCATGCTGCTAGTCATTCCAAGGCAAAAGCTCCCCTACCTTGGGGGCTGTCAGCAAGGCAGGATCTCCTGTGAGCCCCTCTGCCACATGGCAAAGGCACATCAGAGGGGGCTGGTGCACGAGAACGCCAAGCTCAGGTTTGGGAAAGCCACCAAAGATGTTTTCTTTTTTTAGCCTCCTGCTCTCTGTGAAGACATCAGGATTTGTATGGCTCTGAGTAAGTGCACTAGGAAAATCCTCCCACTGCTGTGCAGGCAGATCTGGCAGAGCTGGAGCTGTGCAGAGCAGGAAGAGCCGGGTGCAGGAAGGTGCCCAGCACAGAGTGGGTGAGCACAGCCCACGCTCCCCAGCGAGGCTGCAAGGACGGGCCTCACTTACTATTTCTAAGGCAAGTAGGAAACTCATGTTCTTCTGCTAATCCCTAATCAGTTTTCCTGAGTGGCTGCATTTTCATTTGATACAGTGGGTAAATCAATTACACACTTTATCAGGTTATTCCTACAAAGCTGCTTTCCACATTCGCCAAATGATTGACTAAAGCATGACTCTCTTGCCTCCAGGGAATGGTGATTAAGAAGTGACCTTATTAAGCTATTTAATGCAGCTGAGAATTAGACAACTCTGCTCAAAGAGACAAAGTAAACTTCATTAACTTGTTCAAAACTTCTTTTCCTTTGCCAACTTTCAGATCCATGACTACCCTGGGCATGGTCTGTGCACTTGGCTGGTAATTAGAAAACCAGGGGATTTTAAAGGGGTCACCTATAAGAAGGAAAGACTCCTCACTGGTAGTGTTTCTGGGATCTCTCCTGCTCACAGACTCCTACAACCCTGCTGACCTCAGCAAAAATCAGATCTCACTGCTTGAGCACACTGCTTGACATGTTGAATCAGTGTTACTTCAATTTATTGAACTACGTAAAGAGATCAGTAAAAACAAACAGTGCAGTAATTCCATTTTTCTTTTTTTTTTTTTTTAACAAAATAATGCTAAACCATTTTTGCCTTGTAGTGAGACAGCCCCAAGGTCTGCATATACTTATGGGTTCACTTTAGCATTTACTTGAACCCAAGCTGCTTAGTTGTAGGAAAAATCTGAGAAAGCCAAATGAGCAGCCTTGAAGGCATGGAATTAAATTAACCAAATGTGCCTAGACAGGTTACACAATTTCAGGGACTAAAACCCACAGATCAGGCATGCAGGGAGGCACAGCACCAGCAATGCATGTTCACATCTAGACCTCGAGTCTGCTGAGAGCAGCACAGCGGGAAAAACTGCCCCGCATTTCTTTCAAGATCATGCTCTGTAGTGAAGGAATGATGGTCCAGAGCTTGTGAGCCCCTTGGGCTGAGGAAAATGCACCCTACAGCTCAGTTGTCCGCTGACTGTGCACAGACAGGTCTGCAAGAAGCTGCTGTCACCACTCAGGATGGGACTCAGGGACTCTGGGCTCCCTCCACGTCCAGCACTGCATTGATTTGGACAGCAACCACCTAGAGGGGAGCAGGACAGCTCTTCATAGATGGAACTGAATTGTTTTAAAGTTTTCAAACACATTGGCTTTCTTCCTGGCCTCTTAAATTAAAGAGCAATTAACTTTCAGTCTGGAGAGAGCTGATGGGTATTTCCTGGTTTGAGTCTTTAGAATTTTGCCAAAATGATTAGTGAAATGAAAAATTGTCAACCCTCGAGGCAGGGCTGTCAGCCAGTGCTCAAAGCATTTATCCAAGCTCAGACTCTTTTGGCCTGTGGACAGCAGGAAATGGTACAAAATAAGGGTGTAGGAAATGAGTAGCTGGGCAAAAAGGACACTGGCACAGCAGCTCCAGTACCTTAATGCTAATAATTGTTAAAAACTGCTGGTGCTATGGGCTTAGCTGACTTTTTCCCTTATGGGGGAGAAAACCAAGGCTAACCATCAGTCCCAGCTCGTGGGAACCTGTTGCTGGGTTTGTTAGTCACATGCAGAAGTTTGTGCAGCAGGTGCAGTGCTGCCAGCACAGAGGGAGTGCACACAAACATTCCCCTGGTATGGCTGCACAACCCTCCCTCCCTTTGTTCTGGGGCTCCACAATATCCTGGTAATGCTGCTGAGAAGATGTGAGAGCTCCAGGCTTCCCCAATTACTAGAAAAGCCTGCAGCCTCCCTCCCTTTGATTTCCAAGCTCCTTCCCAACACTTAAAAGCTCAGATCTATTTTGTTTCTTCCGGAATTGCTAACCAAAGCTGACTCCTGAATGAATTCTGTCTCTGCTCCAGTTAGTCATCCCTCCAGGACAGATTTAGTAACTGCTCAGGGAAACCACATCCAAGCCAACAGTTCACCATTGGAAGGCAGCACCCACTCACTGTCAGCTTCATCTTTTTTCTGAGCTAGAAAGCTCAAAGTGCAGCAAGTGAGCCAGAATTAGGAGTGAGCCTCTAGCCTCACCTGTTGTGTAGGAAGGTGGATAAATTGGTATGTACCTAGCCCCAAATCTGCCTGCAGGCTCAGGGAAGCTGCTGCAGAGACAGCAAGGACCTACAGCAGAGCTCAGCATCCCCATCTGCCAAAGCACCCACGGGGCAAACATCCCTCCTGCATGGCTGGAGCTCCAGGCAGGGCTGCCTGTGCTCCTCCCTGCTGGAACTGCCTGAGCATCACCTCCTGAACCCCCACAAAGCTGCCAGCACACGGAGCTGCCCCTCTGCTCAAGCAATCTCACCCCAAGCTGCAGCATTAGGAATGTTTTAAAACGTGTGTCTGACATGTTCACTGCCTGAAAGCTTGTGCTTTCCTCCAGAACGTTGCATAACATTGACTGGCTAGAGGTGCATCATGTTAAAACTTGTCCTGGTAAACAGTAACACCCCCAAGTACTGCAGTGCATAAACATGAGACACAACACTGATGCTTTCAGGTAGGGACAGTTTATTTGCCCTTTTGAACAAATAAGGCAAAATATTTGAGAGAGATCAAACAAAATCTCCTGTATCAAACTGAGAGGAATGCAATAAAAGTTACTGTTCCATACATATACAAACTAAAGACCGAACACTATTATATACAAAGAGCCAGATCTTACAAAACAGCATTTCAAGTCAGCAGTTTATGCCAGTGTTGCTAATTTCTTTGTTACAAAAAAAAGTTAAAGCTACAAACTTCACATTTGTAAGTCTCACATGACTGATACCATCAGTATCTCCAGGTTTTAGAAACAAAGAGAATGGTTTGTCCAGAACCCTTTCCAAATGCAGATGGACCCATGGAGCACATGAACGCAGCTTCTCAATTAAGCAAGTTTTTTGCTTAAAACTTTGTCAAAACATCCCTTATGGTACGAGCCTTGGTCATAGCTTGGAGGATTCGGAGGAATGAACAGTTTCTGTGCTCCCAGACATTCTACAAAGGGACCAAAAAAGGGAAATATTTTCTCCAACAAATTGAAAATCAGTGAAGGAGAAAATAATTCCTCTGCACTACAGCTCCAAATGCAAGAAACATCATTCAGTCTCACCCACTGCAAGCATTTTAGAAAGGTTCAAAGACAGTTAAGCCATTGGACCAGTTTTAGTTATTTTGGTTCGTTTGCTATATTTTAAGACAATCACGTCAGCAAAGCAGAGTATTTCAAGAGTGCTTACATTCAGTTACAGCAGTCACAGGTTGCATATTCTGTAAATAGACACCACCCCGTGGTGTTTCACCTTAAAGTTGGGGTTTCTAATGCCCTCTGATCTCTACAGAGTTATCTACACAGTGCAGAGGAAAAAATCCTTCCAGCAGAACAAGCTTGACCCAGGCCACACAGGCAGTGCACAATTTACCATGTCACAGATCTCTGTGTCTGTCACACCTGAGGTGCTGGGCCAGATCCATCCAAGTGACTTCTACAAGATCCAACACTGACCAGAGAACTGCCTGCTAAGCTGGAGGAGTTTCTTTGATGCAAAGGATGCTGATGAAAATTGGCTCATCATGAAGACACGGTCAGGGCAAAGTCTGTTGCAGAGATTCCGGATGAGCACGGTATGAGCCCTGATGTGACACCTGGGGCTGTCAGATTGCTGGCTCTCCCAGGATGTACTCCTCCTGCAGCACCCTACACACACTGCCCACTGCCTCCCTTTTCCTTAGGGACAGCTGTGATCCCACTGCATTATCAAACTGAGACAAACCCACGCAATGAGCCCTGCAGAGGGTAAGAATGGCTTGGTTCCTTTCACAGCTGTGGAGCAGAAGTGTGAGCAGCAGCCAAGAGCCTGCTCCAGTGGGGAAACAAGACCCTACAGAAACATGAAAGAAACACATCACCTCCGTAGCAGCATTTGATTCAGGAGACACTGCTGTTTAATCATCTAGGTGATGTACCAAGGCCTAGTTCAGAAGCACGACGTGGAAACTGTTCCCTCTATCAGAACGAAATAAAAAAATATTGGTAGAAACACTTGCTCTGCCCAAGCATTCCATCATATGCTAGGCACACCTGAAACGACACAGCTGTGCTGTGGGAGCCCACAGGGCAGAGGCATTGCTCAGTCTCTGCCCTGCAAACAGGCTTTGTTTTACTCTCCACTCTGATGTGAGCTGATTGCACCGTCCTCACAGCGATTGTACATGCTCGGGGCATTGTGGCTGATTGGGCTATGCTGGGCAGGGATGGCAGGGAAATGAAAAAAAATAACACAAGAGCATCCAGAGGAACTGGAAGAGACTGAACCTCTTCCAGCAGGACATTGGTAATTGTCTTCTCATCCAGATCAACTCTGCCTTTGCTCCACCACCATGAATGCAGATCTTTGTTAATTTAAGTCTTTACTTTCAGTTTGACACTCCTGATGTGCTACACCTTGCAGAAATGTGAAGGATTGTGAAATCAAGTTTTTATTCAAGCATCCAAAGATGTAAATTCAAAATTAAGCTTATAAAATAATTCACAAGCTGTGGAGATTTTAGACACAGCTGAAGTACCTAATTCCTGAGAGAGGTTCAGTTCACACAACTTCCACCCATTCAAACGCTGTTTTCTTTTCCCAGCACTCCATTCTCAGCAGGGTCTCCCTGAAGGACATTTCCAAACAGACAGACAAAGGGGTATCACATCACTGACTGGCTTTTGGTTTTAAGTGAGTGTGGATTTTAAATTACAGAATGTAATTTCTTATGGAGGCACAACATGCTTTATCTACTTGTATAAATTCATGAAGTACACAAAATGAGGACAAAACTGAGGTCTTGAAGATATCACACTTGCTTAAAGCACACAGTGTAAGGCATGGGGCTTATTACAGGCTTTTTAAAAACCGAGATTTAAGTTTCTTTCAAAAGGCTGGAACAGTTTGTACATGTTTTCACCAGCTCTCTTCAGTGACCTAAAACTTATCAGTACCTTAACAGTAGAAACAGTTAACAGCTTGAAATTGAGTCTGTGCATTCACAAAGGAAAACAAAAACAAAAAAAAACACAAAAGAAGTTGTTACAGACAACCATCTGTATTAACTTAAACCAAAATAGATTCCTGAAAGTTCAGTTGAAAAGAGAGTGAGCCAACTTTCATTAGCCAATTTCTATCTGGTTCCTCTGGTTTAAAAACAATCCTCCTAAAAAATAGTAACAGAACCCTTTTGGAATTATGCTTTAAATATATGTCTAACATTACAACATACAATCAGGATTTTCCACATGATGGCATTCCTGAGTTCACAAAGGTGCTATGGAAAAATAAACGAGCAGAAGTATTGCCCTCTATTTTGCTAGAATATTTCAATAGAAATCAATCTGTTCAGTAGTCATAAAAGCAAGGGGCTGATTGTTTGAGGATGGAAGGAGGTTCTGCCCGTGGCTCAGAAGTTCTGCTGCCGCCGCTTCTTGGCTTCGATGGCATCGAGGATCGGCTGCCGCTTGGACTGGTACTTCTGGCGAATCTCCTCGATCTCCTGCTCCATCATGGGGTCCAGGGCAGAGAGCCTCTTCTGCAGCTCATCCACGCTCCAAGACTTCAGCTAGCAGGGAGACAAAAGAGGAACAGACACTGGCATCAGTGCCACCACCACCCACACACCTGCAGGGATCCTGCTGCTCCTCTGACGGCCACAGCGCATCTTCCAGCAGGGAAAGGCAGCAAGAGCTCTGCTCCAGGTGCTGCCCTCAGTGAGAGTGGTGTGAGCCTCAGCACGCTGCTTCTGCTCATTTCACATGCTCTGGTTGCTGGCAGTGTGAGCACACAACCAGCCAGTGAAATGTTTCCCCCATGGAGTTGCTTTTCTAATGCTTTTGCAGGCTTAGGACAGAAATGCTGCACTGAGATGGAAGGAAAGCAAAGTTCTCTTCCCCTCCCCATTCCTTGCAACGAAACCTCTTTATGCTAAATGACAAAAGGAGACATAGGGAACAGGAAGAAAATAATATCGCTGACAAAAGCTGCATGTGGAAAAAAGAAAAGGCAATTATGTACAATTAGGCTGAATCTCAGTCATGGTGAGGAATTCAGACTCTGCTACACCAGAAATCCCAGAGCACAAACACACACCAGGTCACTTTGGGTCAGCCTTGTACTGATAAAATATGCAAGTACAATTCGTATTTGCCTGTACACGTGAAGATGTCAGGCTCATCTGGACAAGCTCCCTCTCCCCGAATCCTCTCTCTCTGCCTGACCTTTGTTGAGTTGGCTGTCTTGTCTGTGGCAATTTGCCAAGAACTGGCACAGAAATGTTTTGCTCTGTGATTACAGATGTCAAGTGTGGCTTGGGATAGCCTAAGTTATCCAGAGCTACAGCTTTTATGTAATATTATAATATTACAATTGGTGCAACAGACAGGATTTCAGTAAAATGTTAAAAATATAGACACTAGAAGTGCTTCAAATGTTTACTTAAGCACCAGTCCTTTCCCCATCCAAGACCAAGTGACCACAGGAGAGATTATTTTACAGGCACTCCAGCAGGACAGAAATGACTGTGCAGCACCTGCTATCACTAAGCACCTGCTGTGGATGCTAAGAATATGCAAAATAATTTGGGTTCTTTCTTGTGCACAAAGAACTGTCAAAATTTTTTTTTTTTTGCTTTCAACAAATGTCATAATTAAGTGACATATCTTTATTTTCATGCAAGTGGGCCTGTTCTAGTTTAGCTGTTAATTAATCAGCTGTCATGATTACTCTTCAAGCCGTTTCTGAACCAAAACACGGAGTGAAATGTTTGCTGCCTACTATAAGGCAACAAATGAATGTTTAATGGCAGTTTGTTTCACTCCTTAAAACTAAGATATGGAGCTCCTGATGCCTTTTCCTAAGGTGGAAGAGATACCAGTCCCTAAATCACAAAGTCACCTGCTACTTGATTTCTCACAACGTCTTTTGGAGTTCTTTAGCATATTCTGCTAAACAAGATCTTTCCTAGTTGCTGTTTCAAGATCACAAATCCATTGTAATAATCCAGACACATATGAAACAACCTTTCTGCCCAGGGTATACAGTATTTCAGCCTTTCCAATCAGGCAACTGTTCATTAGAAAGACAAAGCACTTCCTCCACAAAGATATATATTATTTATACACATTAATGCAACTTTAACAGGCAGCAGTTTAAGTTGATGCATGGCATCAGTTGCCTTTTCACACTAACTTATTAAGGAGAGGTAATTATTCAACATTCCACTTCCTCACAGTCTAGGGATTTGAAAAGTCAAATAAAAATGCAAAATAGAAGAAAATATTAATACAAGTACTGAATACATATACTAAGCAGCTACACCTCTCCCAGTGCTGGACTGCTTAAAGAGAGTATTGGAACAAATTTAAAACACCTTGCTCAAGGTGTAAGCCAACTCTTAGATGTGATAAATCGCCCTAGGGCTGCCATCTTCCAGGGATGCCCTTTGAGCCTTCTCTGCCTTCCTCCTGAAGTGCTTGGGTGCTGCTCAGAGCCAGAAACAAAGTGCCTGAGCTGGCAGAGCAGATGTACAGCAATGGGCTCTCCAGAACACGTGGCAGTAAGAAAACACTGCCCTGCTGCTGTCCTTGAACAGGATGGAGCACCAGGGGACATCCTCAGGGGACACCGACACCCCCAAGTCTTCCTGCAAAGTGTAAGAGCTGCTTGCCAAGGGACACAACAGCTCTGGCAATTCCGGGGACTGAGTTTCTCAGGACAGATGGCTGAACTGTGTGGAAGATGCTGGAGCACAGCTAAGTCTGGAGTGGGCAAAGCCCACAGATTTATATTAGTATGAACCAAGTGGGAAGTGGGTCACCCATGTGAGGCAGAGCAAAGCGGCTGCTTACAGAGCTGATCACGGGTTAAACACGACAGGATGGTGGGAGAAGGAAGGGAGGCAAGTGCCTGTGCCCAGGAATCTGGGAGTGTGCACAGGAACACCCTGTGTGCAGAGCTGTGCCAGCGAGGATGAACGACTGGCAGAGTTTTCATCTGCAGTAATGGCACACTGTCTGTGAATGCCACGCGGCTCCTGGAAGGGGCAAAGCCAAAGGGCAACGCTGGCACGAGGTCCAGGAGGTGACTGCTCAGCCCAGATGAGCTGATGGGACACTGGCAGGTCCCCAGTGGGTAATGAGAGCCACGAGGAGCACACAGAGCAGGGGACACCCAGCCCTCTGCTCCCGCTGCGACAGCAAGAGCCTGGGCACCTGGCCTGGGCAATTACTCAGCCTGTCCTTCCACTCACACACATCTTCAGGAGGGAAAAACACAACAAACTGTTCAAAATGGGATGGCCTCCATTTCACTTTGCTGCCTGGCACTTCACTGTAAGGCAATGCCACTGACAGGCTTTCTCCCAGAAATGAAGTTTTAGACTCCAGTATATCTCTTTCTGCACTCCTGGGACACTGACATTATTCTCTTAGAGAAACGCCAGGAGCAAAATAAGACAAGAAGGACAAGGACAGGATTTCATGACAGACGGGTACCCGGGGTAAAGTCTCAGTGCTGAGCAGCTGCAATTAGAGCTGGTTTTAGCCATGGGCTCAGTCCCATTCCTCTCCTCACTTCTCAGCATTTCCTCTGCTCTAAGAAGTCTAACTGTCTCTGTAAAAGCTATCTATTTTTGTCCATGCTGATCAAATACCTAAGACAAACTTCTAAAGGAAGGAATCTCATTTCAAATGTAAAGCTGGATAAAAAATACTTGTTCTAAGGTTGGCCAAACAAATCTATCAAAATGGTGAGGAGGCAGCACATGAAACTCTTCCAACAAGCCTGTATGTTGAGAAAGCTAATTTTTAACCGTTTGATTAACAGTTGTATTTTTACTTGAGGTTTTAAGAACGATCTTAACTCTGCAAAAATGCCCAACTGAAGACATATGTCAGATGTCAGAGGTGGAAGTGTTCATCTGAAAGACTCTCACCCACAGCTGTTGGATGCTGTTTGTTTTCTTCAGACATCACTGACAGCAACATCTTGTTTTAATATGCTGATGATTTCTACTGTATAATTTAGAAGGACATACATAATTATATCCTTTGGAAGGACGTAACCTACAGCCTTTCCATGCCTACACAGTAGTGATGGACAAATCAGGAACAGATCATTTGAAAAACAATTTCTTCCTCAAGGAGAAGATTTGTAAGCTGCTCATGACATTCCTTTTGTCAGCATTTCTGGCAGATTTGCAGACAACTATCCCACTGAATAATGTTCAACTCAGCAAACTGCTTCTGAGTTGCAGTTCTTTCAAATCAGCATTTTAAAAACAGGGGATGTGGGGGAACCCCACTTGCATTTCTTACAGTCAGGTAAAGTGTCACAGGAACATGATATTCTACTGAATTTAAATGAACCTAAGCAGCAAAAGGAGAATAAATATAAGCTCTCTGCAGACACAGCCACAGGTTTGGCATTCAAGGGCACCATGGTCTGAACTTCATACCTCTGCTGTTCTGTCCTAAACAGGACACAGCCCAAAACCCTGCCACCATGCCAGATTTCTGTTTCACATAAAACAAAACAAAAAAAGCTGTTGTAAAACACAAAGCCTAGAGAATTAACTCAGCATCTGCCCTGTCCCCATGAAAACCAAACCCCAAATGGTGACAACTTTTTGAATTAGAAGCTGATGCAAATAATTGCATCCCCCTAGTACCCACAGCCCTCACAGTGAGGAGCACCTGTGCTGGTTTCCCTACAGCAAGGTCTGCAGCTTGCCCAGTCTGGGACTTGGCACATCCTCTGGTCCCTCAAGTGCCCTTGAGCAGCACAAGGTCACCACTGCCTGGACCAGCCTGCACTAGTGACATAAATACGGTCACCCAGTGACCCCTGAGTCACTCCAGCCATCATTCTGATTTGCTCCTCTGGCAAAACCACTGCCAGCCAAATCTCCTTGCTGCATGAATTACGAGCATCAAACAGAAATGAGCTGTTTCCCAGCAGCTTTCACACATTTCTCTCCCAACAAAGAGTTTTGGCCAAGCTTTAGCTCACTGACTGCACAGGAATCAAAAAATATTATCTTGGGGCAAGTGGAAAACATGCTTCTCCTGAAGCATTCTTTTTACTCACTGACACTGATTTTGCTCCCCCCATTTAGCATAAAGCCTTTTCTTTGCATGTCTGCAAGGTTTCAGGCTATCTGGGCTTTGCTTTTCCATACTGTCTTTCAAGTCCTGAGGCTTGTGCCAAACAGGAATCCTCTACCCCTGGGTGGGGATGCAGTTTTTTCTACCATCACTTCTCAAATGTGCAGATGGACCCTGACTCTGGAACAAAGCTGGAATATGTATGACACTGTGAGATGAAGTTACTTTCCTCCTGGTGAAAGCACTTGAACAGTTTTTCAGAAGGAGACTATTTTCAAGTCTTGGTACTACAACCAATCCTACAAATAAAATTAGGAAGTTGTTCTCTTCTTCCTTAGCCCTCCAGACATATTCCTCTACCATAATTCCTGTGAGTTTGAACACTTGTCTTCCACATGCTCAGGGTGTTTTCCGAATATCCTCCCACTCTTACCAAGAGCCTGTGGCTTTTTAGAAAGAA